CATTTTGTTTCCTTCAGTTTGAATATGATATGCCTAGCTTATCATAAACATAAATCTTATCCTGCTTGATGTTATCTGAGCTTCCATGATCTATGGTTAATTTATCATTAATTTTGGAGAATTCTTGACTATTATTACTTCAAATGTTTCTTTTGTTTCATTCTCTCTTTTCTTTCTGGTATTCTAATTACATGTATGTTATGTATTTTGAAACTGTCTCAAAGTTCTTGAATAATCTGGGTTTCAAAAATTTTTAATTCTTTTTCTCTTTGCATTTCAGTTTGGGAAGTATCTGTTGACATATATTCAAACTCATTTTTCCCCCCCTTGGCTGTATGTAGTCTACTGATGAGCCCAGTAAAGGTATTCTTCATTTTTGTTATGATGTTTTTTATTTCTAGCATTTCCTTTTGGTTCTTTCTTAGACTTTCTGTCTCTCTGTTTACATTCCTCATCTATTCTTGCATATTGCCTACTTTTTCCATTAGAACCCTTAACACATTTATCATAGTTTTTAAAATTCCATGCATAATAATTTCAAAATTGGTGCCACATGTGAGTACAGATCTGATGCTTGCTTTTTCTATTCTATTCAAACTTTTTTTCTTGTCTTTTAGCATGACTTGCAATTTTTTTGTTGAAAGCAAGACATAATGTATTGGGTAATAGGAACTGAGGTAAATAGGCTAGAATTTATATTAATCTGGCTAGGAGTTGTTTGCTGTAGTTGTATGTAACAAAGCCTTCAATTTTCTTTAGTGTCCTTGTTTTTATTCCCCCTGGTATCATACATTTTGCCTAAGATCATCTCCTTAAGTATAGCCTACACCCTGCAGCTCTTCCATCTATCATCCCTTGTTACTATACTGGAGCTCTGTTAATGTGGTGGTAAGGTGTCGGGGAGGTGATATGATTAAACTTCAGTCTTTTAGTTGGCTTATGTCCCTGGGCTGTGATGTTCACAAGTGTTTCTAAGCTTTTTTCCTCACCCCTTAGGTAATTCAGGAAGGTTAGAGGGGGCTAGAGTTGGGTAACTTCCCTCCCCTCATGTGGGATAAGGCTCTGGTTGTATTTTCCCCTTATGAGTAGGCTTCTGTTATGAAGAACACTCAGGGTATGTTTCAAAATGGTTGCCTTTCCTTTATCCCTGCCAGAAGCATGAGGGTTTTCTCATGGCTCTTCACTGTGAGAACGTGATGGAGCTCCTAGCTGTAAAAACCCATGAAAATGTGGGGGATACCCTCAAGACTGTGACCCCAGGAATTTTCTTACTCTCAGGCTAGCTCACACACATCCTCCAGAAATTCATCAAAGTGTCCATTTAAGTGTTCCTACCAGTTTATGGCTCCAATGGCTACTGCTCCAGGTAAGCTGATCTCTACTATGACTCTCTTTATTTACCCCTTCTGCAGATTTTTGGGGGCTGGTTTGTCCTGTGACCTCAATTCTCTGGTGGCTCTAAGAAAAGGCATTTTCAGTTTGTTCAGCATTTTTCTTGTTCTAAAGATGACTGTAGGGACTTCCAAGCTCTTTCAATGTCAGAGTTAAACCTAGAAGTCACCCCTCAGAGAATGATTCCTTATTTTCCTGTTCCTCTTCTTACATTTCTTAATGAGTTTGATTGGCTTAAAGAGATGCCTGAGATGGAAAGTCTGAAAAGAAGATAGAATATCACTCTTCTAGGGGCAGAGGTTGGGCAGGGCTAGGGGTTCAGGAGGACTAAGGTCTCCACCTAAGGCTCACAGGCTACCTGTCTGGGTGTGGTGGAGGGTTCCAGGATAAAACCCCAACACAGTGATTTTGTGGTCCTGGACTGGCATATTTAGAAAGCGTGGGTTCTCCGAAGGAGAACAGGCTCTCCTGACACCTGATCTCGAGTCACACTCCCATGTCAGGTGTCACTCGACCAAGCCTTCCTTTGTGTTGGGCTGATCAGGTGAGCAATGTCGAGAGCCTCTGAGCTCTGTCCCCAGGATACAGGGTCTTCTGAGGGCAGATGTGACTGTTGCTTTCTGATTCTGTGTCCTCCTTGAGCACGGGACTTCTGAGAACATCGAGTGGGGATTTCATAGACAAAATCCTCCTCTGAGTTTTTCAAAGAAGGAAAAATTGGAACTATTTTATCATTTTTAAAAATTGATAAAAGGAACAAATTTCTATTCATTAAAATGGAGAGTCATGTTATTCATGGATAATGAGCATCTCCACTTCCTAGAGAGAGGAGTGAGAGAAGCAAGTCCTAGTCTCTCATTCTTTTCTTTTTGTTCTCCACATCAGGGCAGTGCCAAGAGGAGAAGGAAAGGCAGGGCACAGAAAGGTAAGGTTCTGCCTGTCTGACCTGAGTTCTCCAAGGGTGAGTCTTCCTCTTCCTTCTATGAGGTACTAAGTCCCTGATTTCTGAGGATGTCAGTTGCTAGATACAGATTCTCTGGGAAAACGGAGCCCTCAGAGGAGGTTCACGGGAAGGCAATGTGACCTGAGACACTTCTCAGAGTCCCTGCTCTGCCCATGTGTGGGCATGAAGGTGGGATGGACCTGGGCAATGGGTGTGGCCCTGTAGGTGGTCATGGGAGATGTCGAGGAAGGACTACCGAAAGGTTTGGACTCAGAACTTCTGTCTCCCGACTTAGCATAAGTACTTGGACTTCCTGGGTGTTCAGTTTCCTCTTTGAGATAGTCACTGATGTTTATGTTTCATATGATGTTTTTGAGCATCGTGTGGGATAATAAATGTGAAAGTACTTTATAAATAAAGCCACATACACATGTGAACCTTGTTAATATTGTCAATGATGATTTGACCTTTTGTCCTGATTCTTGGGACTCTCTAAGACCAATCTACCAAAGATATCACTAAGGGACATTGTACTTAGACTCCTGTAAGATCTCTCTGCTTCTGACTCCGTCACTGTCCTGTAACCTGCTCTCCTATATTTCCAGGTTGGAGAGATTGCCAGAGTGAAGTAGAGGGGGCAAGGAAGCTGCTTTCTCTTCTGCAAAGGTGACTCAACATTATCCTTCTTTCCTGCAGCCCTCTTTTTAGTAGAGTCTATGCAATTCTAGGGCCTCATTGAAGCCTGGGGTTGATAATGGGATGGAAAATCCACAGTGAAAGCCTGTGGGGAGAGGGATAAAAGGTATATTGTGAGATCAGGGAAATGGGAGCATATAAAAGGACAGTATGCATTGGGTGGCCCTAGCTTTGCCAGACCTGCCGAGGTTACATATGTTTGTTTTGGTCTGGCTGCAGCTTTGTATCCCCTGTCTTCTACAGCCCCTCAGGCCAGCATCAAGATACCATCTGCTTCCGTCAACTGTTATGCCCAGACCCCCTCTGTGAGGTGTGTAATAGAGCAACTGCCGAGGTCAAGCTACTGCTGTTCCAGGAGTCTCCAGAAGATGCGACTCCCTCTGTGTCCCCTTTGGCTTGCACAGCAACTGGAAAATCAATACCAGTCCCTCTTCCTGAGCCTACCCCACCTCCCATCTCCATTCTCTCACCTGACCTGATGACCCTCTTACCTGACTTCCTTTCACCCTTACCACTAAATGACTCCCTGCCACCACAGCTTGCTCCTTCCCTGGAATCCAAATTCCCACTGGACCATTCCCCACCCAAGCCACTTGCCTTTCCCCCTCTCCCACCACATCATACTCAGGGAGCAGATCCTGTTCTCCAATCTGAGGCCACTTTGTCTGTAAAGACCATCTTCACATTTGACCCCGTCCTTTCCCAAGATATCGATGCCTTACCAAATTTATCCCAGGCAATGGATCCCACTGATTCACAAACTTGTCATCATGCATCATCAACCTCGTCTGCTTCACCACCGTCAGACTGTGCTTTAACTGTGACTCAATCTAACTCAGTCTCCATCTTATTGAAGCCTATTCTAGAGATGTCCTCTCCAGATAGCTCTGATGGGTTATCTACTTATGTCCCAATAGTCAGAGGCATTGACCCTTCAATTTCAGAATTCTCCTGGTGGAAGGCTCATGCCAGGAACATGTTCCTCCCCAGATTACAACACTGTGATTTTCAGCAGGAGCACGTTTCTCTCCCTCTAACAGAGACTGCTGCTACCAAGCATGTGGTGGACAGTTTTCCTTTCCTTGGCCTTAATATACAGGCACTCTTGGAGAGACAAATAAAAAAAAGAATGTCTTTTCAGGTTTTGGAGAAGAAAGAAAAGGAGGAAGGACCATTTTTAAAACAAACGTGGTCAGAATACCAACGGACATCTTCAGGGAATTCACTGGAGGCACTGGTTGATGAGCAGGACACCACAGCCCCCCAAACTGGCTGGAACACCAAAGACACACCAGAGAATCTGTACATTTGTCAGCAGCTCCCATATGTCAAGACTTTGGGAGGAAACTTTCAGCAGAAATATAAGCAACTCTTCTGGGGTCTTCCCTCTCTGCACAGTGAGTCCCTAGTGGCTACTCTTCCGGTCTCTAGGAGCAATTCCCCACTAGAGTCTGGTTTTATCTTTTTCAATGGAATCTGTAATGCTCCTGAAGTCCAAATACAGGATCAAGAATCTTCACCACTTTCTCAGTCCCATCCTCTTCCCCACACCCAGGTACATCCCCATCCCTTTTCTCAAACCAATCTTCAACCACAGATTGTACCTCTCGCTCAAGTGCATTCCCAGGCCCACCTTCAATCCTCCCTTCCTTTGCTACCATCATCTTTTCCACCCCAGATTAAGGACTGTGGAGTGTCTTTCCATAGACTCCAGAATGAGGCTGACATTCACATCTCAAATGAAAATCAATATCTGGAATGGCATGTGTTACAGAAGCAACAGGAAGGTTTGTGGGGTTTAGTCCCTGTGCTCCAAAGATCTCAAGAAGCTGTCTGTCTTCCACCTCCTAATCTTCCACTGGTTGCCCAGTCCTCCCAGGCCTCTGTTCCAGTCTCCATCTTTCCTGGCCATTTTCATGTCAGTAGTGAACCTCAGGAGCAACTTGAGCTCCATGTTCCAAAGAGGCTAATGCCACACTGGTGCTTCCATGCCTATAGGAATCTAGGATCTGCAGCACTGATGGAGCCTCAGTGCAAATCAACAGAAATATCTCAGCAGAATTGCAGTCATATTCATTTACAACCCTTTGAGCTTCAGGGCCACAGTAGCAAGGATGTACAGAAGATAGAATTGAGTTGCACAGGAAGTTTCCATGAGAGAGTCCCAACAAAGTTTCAACTAAGGAAGGACAAGACAAAGAATCTTGGGCACATCTTCGGGGAGTGCCCATTACACAATCCATCAACAGTCTCAGAATATGTCCAAGTGAGTGGTTTGAGGGCTGCCTCTGAGGCAAAAAGTGACGAGGTATGTCACTCAAGAAATGACTCAGGGAATGAATTACTAAGTGTATCAAGGAGGAACTTAGACCAGAATGAAATGAAATCCATTCTTAGATTACATTTGAGCAGGAAGTCTTGGCAGATCACTGCAGATAGGATCCCTATACGTGTATGTCATTCATGGCTGGCTGACAACATTGTACAGCCTCCTCCTGGGAGTTCCCATGCCAACACAAAAAACAGAAATTTAACACCATTGGTGGGTAGGGTCAACTGCAAGATTACCATGCAAGAGCTTTCCTTTCTTGATCCCCAAACCCATCAGGCGCTAGAAGCTCACATTAGGAGGTTTAGTGTAAGTCAGAAGTGGGGCCTACCCCTGAAGGTTCTTGAGTCCGTAAAATCTTATGTGTTGAGAGAAGCCAAAACATGGCCTCTTCCCCAATTTGACTTTCCTTTGCCTGCCACCTATTTTTCTAGGGAGGTTTCCAAGCCCCTTAAAGGAAGCTCTGAAACTTTTCAGGGAGACAAATTAGGAACAACAAATTCAGTTCCCAGCCTAGATCATCATCTCCCTGCTACCCTACCTGTGGACAAAGAAGTACAGGGGGCTCTGAGACAGTCACCCTCTGATGCTGACCACAAGCTTACGGAGAATGTCCAGACAATTGAGGATGGCAGACACACTCTTCTGCCCCGCATACACAGCAGCATACACAAAGCAAGTCAGAAACAGACTATACTAGTCAAAAGACACAGCCTAAAACTGCCCACAGGGCAAGATGGGGCTGGACATGCATCAGGGAATGAGAGAGTGAGTTTCTGCAATAGAGTAGAAAGGCTTCAGGGCAAAAGAATGGTGGAGAAGAATTCAGAACATTTTTCTGTGTCCAATATGTCTAGGGAGATATTCAAGGCTGATGAGCTCCGTGCTCTTCAATCACAATCTAATGATATCTTGACAACCAGTGAGTTGGGAAGCTGCTCAATGATAAATGCGAATATGAGTAAAGAAGAAACTACCCTGATCATCAAATACTCTCCACCAAGAATATTGATTCCTGAAGATCCTAAGTCATCAGACTTTAAAAGAAAGCTGGTTAGTGAGTTAAAATTTAAATTGGAGAGCGAGTTGCATAGCCAGGTTCAAGACTGTCCCAGTGACATATCATCTACTTCAGGCAGCTTGGTTTCTGATTACTCCCAGAGTGTCTCCAGTGGGGACTTGGCAGCTCCCCAGGGGCTGCGTGTTCACTTGGACAATGGAGGGATCATCATGGGGCAGAGGCAGGAGCCCTGGGTCCCTAAGTGTGTCTTACAGAAGTGCCAGGATAAGGATTTCCCATCAGCCGAGAGGACAGTGAGACCTCCAGGACCCAAAGCAGGAGAAAGTAGATGTGAGGACTCAAGATTGGAGACATCCAAAGCCATAAGGAAGAGCCATCTTGTCAAAGGCAGGAAATTAGAGAAGACTTCCAAGTGTCTGTCCCAGAAGGAACCTCCTGGAAGTTATTTCAGAAAAAAGATGAGGGAACTTTTTCAGTGGTTCAATTCCAAGAGAAAAAGCACAGGGCAGGAAAGTCCCCTGCAAAAAGGCAAGTTCATGCCAGGCTTTGTACGGAGCCAAGACCCCGTTGAAGGTAGAGGTGTCTTTTTTAGCTGTGGGCCTCTTGAAGCTTCTGAGCTCATGATGGTCATCGGGAAGATCCTTGAGGAAAAACTGGCATGTAGGCAGCAACCTGAGGCCTTGCAATTAAGTTGGCAGAAGGAGGAACTGCGGGCCCAGGCAGAGCCCTGCAAAGGAAAACCCTCCAACTATGGGGCTTCCATTGACCCACAGCAAGGGGAAGGATCAGGTACTTGGTTGCAGGAACTCCTGCAACTAAGAAGCCGTCTCTACTGGCCCAAGTTGTCTTACAAATTTTAAACAGAACAGGGATAGTATCAGACATCCCAGAAAGTTGTGACATTGAAAGACAAGCTATTATTCCAGAGTTATCCGGCTTTTCCCACCCTCCCATTCAAGCCCCATCTGCATGCCAGGTATGCGAGGTGCCTCTGGCTGCCCTCACTCCAGGTGAATGTACTGTGTTCGGAGATTTGACTCTTCTACGCAAACAGAAAACTCATCTCCAGCACTTACATGAAGGAAAAAATTTCCCCAAGGAATAATCCATTTCTTGCTGAAAAAGCCTCTCAGTTTTCATGATAGTACAGCCTCTGATGAGAGCAATTTCTTTTTAGCACAACCAAGAATATTGATCCTCCCCAATAAATGTTTCTTCTACTAGAGAGTGGCGTTCTCTGTGTACCGCACTGGAGGCATGGGTTTTGAGTATCCCAGAGCTTGTGCTTAGGGAATGGAAGGAATTAGTATAGTTCTTACTATTGCCTCTTTTGGCTTCTAAAAGATGATCAGTCCTTTGTAGGGAGCTGACAATGGCCTTCTCAGTCTTAACCTAGAGTCCTTTATATGACCCTTCTTTATATGTCCTGTAATTAAAACACCATATTATTCCATAAAAGGTACGAAAAGTTTACTCTAAAACCTTTCAGGCCTTTTCAATGTGAGAAAGATCCCTAAAGTTCAGAATTTGGCTCAAACCATCTTTTCACCTGCTCCCTGACTACCCTAAACTATATACAGCTGTAGGATGGGTGAGTTACTCTTGCATAATAAAACCAGAAATTCCCTTGCTGCCCCCAGAAGGGTCTGGAATTGAAAGCTGAAATCAGTAGGAGGGAGAAATCTTCCTCTTGGATCTCTTGGTGAGGAATAAATGTTACTGCTCCTAAGGACCAGGGCTTCTCTCCCTCATGAAATTTGGAGCAATGTGCCAAGTCCCCCGCCTCTTACCTTCCCCTAATGAAAATGGAAGTTCACCCTTTCCCCTTTCTCTACCCTTTTGGGAGCAGTAAGGAGGAAAGACTGTGCAGCTCTAAAGGGCACCAGGGATAAGAATACTTTACTAAAAACAGTGGTTTACTTTCATTTAAAAAAAGTTACTGATTCCAGAGGATGTGGCAGGTGAACAGTCATTGAGTGGGACACCTACGGATGGGTTTTGCTATTGTGGACACTGGGTGGTCTGGGGCAGGATCCAGGAAATGGGTGGGTCCTGCTGAAAAATCTATGATGCATAGTATTTCACTGTGTCTGGAAAGCACAATTTGAGCTTGACTGTAAGGTCTCCTTGCTTGTGAGGGCACCTTGAGGAAAAGGGAAGGCCCTGTCCCTGGGGAAACTCTTTAGGATACCTGGCTTGATAGCATTATCACAAGACCAAGAGATCACCTGGCAATCACTTGTAGGAATGATCATCAGGTAGCAGCTACAAAGGATTTGGGAAAAAGAGCACAGCGATACTGTTTCAGTGTAAGAGTACAAGGGATGGTCTCTGAGCACAAAGACAATATCTGCAGAGATAATGTCAGACACTATATCATCTTTTCTGGGGAAGGTGATCCTTGTCCCTGCCTTCTAGCCATGCTACATCTTACACCAAGGTTACAATGATTTAGGGGTGTATTAGTTATCTATTGCTATGTAATGGACACCTCAGAATTTAGTGGCTTTAAAAAAAGGTATATTTATTATCTCACATTTTTGTGGATCAGAAATCCAGGTGAGGCCCAGCTGGGTTCTCTGCTTCAGGGTGTCTTACAGGGCTGCAATCTAAGTGTCAGCTGGGGCTGAGGTCTCTTTTAAAGTCTTGACTGGGGAAGGATACACTTCCATGCCCACTTATATAGCTGTCGGCAACATTCAGTTCCTCAAGTCCTATTGGACTGAGGTTCTCAATTCCTTGCTGTCTATTGGGTGGAATTGTCTGGAGGTCTCCCTCAGTCCCTCATCATGTGGGCCTTTCCAGTGTGGCAGCTTCATCAAAGCCAGGAAAGGAGAGAGTCTATAAGTAAGACAGAAGTTACAATCTTTTGTAAACTCAAAACGGAAATACATCCCATCATCTTTCTTGTATTCTCCTGGTTAGAAGCAAATCACTAAGTCCAGCACACACTTAAGGGGTGGGAGGATGATTACACAAGTAGGTAGGATCACTGGAGCCTTCTTAGAAGTCTTCCTAACACAAAGATCTCTTCTTGGACACCCCACTCAGTTCACTGAAGCCAAAAAGGCCGAAGGTGCCAAATGGGTCCTCATCCTCATCCATATCCACGGTTAAGGTCAAAACTGTTTAACGACTCAGTGAAACATCAAAGTGGTTGGACATCCAAAGAAAAGGAGAAAGCTGGTGTGAAGGTAAAGGTGGTATGTGGTCACTGTGAATGATAAAGTGAAAGGATCTCTGAGAACCTCCTGACATACCACTGCCAGTGTTCATTCTAGACTTTGAGGGGGGCAGAGAAATTAAGGGAAATATCCTGGCTCTACCGCAGTCTGTCCTACCTCCCAGACCACAGGCTAAAAGAAGCAACCTTCCGTTCCTATAGAGACAGCCAAGCTTATAAAGGAAGCAAATCCTACAGGTTGCAAGATTTAATTTTTACTTTTATTAGCATATTTAAAATAGCACACCCATCATTTCAAATTTGCTTCTTACAGCTTGAACATCATAGATTGAGACACCCAGTTGATAGAAAAACTAAGACTAGGGAACTCAGAGCATTAAACTCTCATTCTGGGATGTTTTCCATGTATCCATTGCTGAAGACTTCTCACAAAGGGAGATGTGATGCCTTAAAGAGACTGAGTTACTGGCCTGGGGTCACAGAACATGTCATACCTGGTGCCCAGATACCTGCTCCTTCCATTGAGAGAAACACTGCTTGAGGCAATGAGAGAATCTGAACTTGAAGAGCACTTAGGAAGTGATCCATCCAAAATGAGGTGGCACCAACAGTGATCCCACTTGATTACTATACAAGTTTACCAATGCTTTACTGTGGGCGGGGGGGAGGTTGTGCTGACAATGACAATTTTCTTCTGTGGGGATTCTTGCTCTACCTACTTACCCAGCTTTAGGTGATCTCCATTGCGGCAGGGTAATTTACCAAGCTATTGATGCTGTTTCTACTCCCTGCCAGAGGGGACTCCGAAAGGAATAAAAGTTAACTTCCCACTTTTGTCTTCCAGGAAGTTCTGGGCTCTTGGGCTCTTATTAATTGCTTTCATATTTCCTGACTCAAAATGGAAGCTTTGAGGCACCTGATGTACAGTCTTATCCAGACTGTCATGCGGGAGGGGAGTTTAGCAGGTGTTCCTGGGAGGGAGGAGCTAGGGGTTGGTGCAGGTGCTGGGTTGAAGGAGGGAGAGTTGCCCAATGGTAGCAATGGCTCCAATGACTTAAGAACAAGGATGTAAAGATATGTTCCTTAAGTGGATGGGTCCTGTGTGGAAGTCTTCCAGGAGACAGCAGGATTTCTTAAGGAATGAAAGGATGTTTACTGAGATGATTATCAAGCCCCATTTTCTTGGGAGCTGCAGCAAAACGCAGCATTGCCCATCCTTGGCATATCTGTTTGGCAGTGAATACCAAAATAAATGGGCAAAATGTCAGTAATGACTAATATTGGATATCTTCCTACCTACCCTTTAAAATGGGTTCTTTGAGCCAGATTTAATTTAATTTAGAAAAATTAAGCACTCCTTGTACTTCAGTGTTGTAGAACAAATTTGTGCTTTTATGAATATTGTCCCATTTAATCTTTACAACACTTTGGAGTAGATATTTTTACCTCCTTTTATAGAAGGGCAACCTGAGGGACAGAGAAAGTAATGTATGTGGTGGGCTAGCATAGAAAAGGGAGCCAGGAATGAAGAGCCCTTTTCTATTGTGAGAAATGATTTGTAAATGGAAACAAATACAATGAAAGAGGACTTAAACAAACAAACAAAAAAAATAGACTCTGTTGACTCAGGTAACTGAAAACATCTGGGAGTAAGACTATCAGGCAGTAGGGTTCATGCTGGAGTTCAAGTGACGCCATCAGGATTCATTTTCTATCCATTTCATGGCTTTACATTCTGGGCTGGCTTCACTGTAAGACTGTGTGTCTGGAAAGTTCATAGCTACATTCTCCAAGCTTTAAGTGCTTGGAGGGGACAGAGGTGGGATGCGGTCCAGGGTAGGGGGCTAGAAGTAGGGGAAATGAGTTGGAGGCTCCAACATACAGTGGACGGACCATCCAACAACCTGGCCTCTCACTGTTTACCCCTTCTCATCTTACATCCCTTTACCTTCCTTTCAGTTCAGTTACTGTCACAGTCTAGAACTTATCACCAGAAATATCCCTGCCTTCTGAAGAAGTACAGTCTGACATTTTATCCTTTATCCTTCTCACCTATACCTTCAGTATGCCAATTCTTCAACTTACTCAGGAACTACGAGCCACTTTAAATTTTCTCCCTGTCCATCCAGCAACCTTTTGTCTTAATTTCCTTCCTCTCCAAGGAAAACTCCATGGTCCACACTAACCACAAATCCGTATAGCTCCACTCCAAACAGCACTCCTCAATCTCCTTTCATCTTTCTTGCCTGGAAAAATCCAACGTTTTACCTTTTCTACACCTGCCTTCTAAGAAGAGGTTGATTCCTTTTGGGTAAAAACAATTAAGTATATGGTGCCACCATTAATTCATCATCTACAATTTACGGCCAGTTCCAACACTTCCTAAAAATAATCGGTTCATTCCTCCAGCGATGACTTAGTGCCGGGCAGTCTTCTAAGCACTGGGACACACCAGTGAGGAAACACGGCTCTCTGGCTTGTGGAGTTTATAGGATTGTTGTCTTAGTCAATTCCCTTGCTTATCTACTCAAAACTCCTATTTCACTTTCCTAAACTTCTCCCCCTCCTCATTCACTGAACCACAAAGGAATGAGACCACCATAAAGGAATGAGACGCCAGTAGATGGAAACTTTTTATCATGAAACTTAAAAATACCCCAAACGCCTTGAGCTCCT